TATATGAACTTTTATGTGTTGTTTAGATACTTTAAAACCTAATGGCCCCATTAGCTGGTACAGCAGAGATTTATGGTTTCCAGGCACTTAGAGCCCCTCCCAAAGCCCCTCACAGATAATTTGTGGTCACACTTCCCAAAGCCCTTTTTTCTATGTCAGAGCTGGCAGATTGTCATTGATTCATGTAGCAGGGCAAAACCACCCTCTGCCTGTACCTTCAGCCTGGGGAACCCAAAACAGCAGTTCCCAGGGTGTGGTCATCCCCCAGGAGTTCTGCACAAGGGTATAGCAAGAAGTCTGCAGAGAATGGCTGAAGATTATCAGCTTACTATGTCTATGTGGTTACTCTGAAGGCTAGAAAGTTGAGTTCCCAAGTGGGAAACACTACATAGAGACTTATTTCTCAGCCCTGCTGATATTTGAAGAGTGCTACCACAACCACCCAGTAAGTGTATGCATTTAAGTACTTGTATTGTGAGTCTTATAGATATGCTAAGGAGACAAAAATGTCCTTAATAATATCGACTGTAGGTGCCATTTAAGCAAATATTTACATGGTTGTCTGGCAGATGAGATCTTTAAAAGTATAATTACCTGCTGGCTGTGAAAGCAGAACTTTTATTGAGGTTGGGATGTTAGGATGAAAACACGCTCATTCAAGGTTTATTAAATAGTGTGTGAATGACTGTATTCCAGTCTTTAAGATTTGCCCTTAACCACTATTGAAGTAATAACCAAAATGGAGTAAGCCTCATTGTAAGATGAAATTGTTTTATTTTTCACAGTCTCTTCAGTTTAATTTAATCTGTGTTTGCCTGTTCGGTGTAAACCCCTACTGTCTTTCTAAGACAAGGATGGGAACTGCAGATAAGAACATGCTCACGTTTTGTTTTTTTTTTTTCCTTTTTAGGGCTGCTGTGAAGTTACAGTTGCAATATAAAGATGACAAGAAGTTCAAGACAAGATAAAGGACCCCAGTGAGATTGGACACTGAGAGGTACACCAGACTTCCTCCTTTTGCTTGGCACTTCTCTTTTTATTCTTTGATTAAAGTCTTTTTCCTTTACTTACATCCTCCATTAAGATGTCTCAGTGTCATTTAGGGTGTTAATTGAGAGGAGGTTTAAGCTCATCAAGGCGATTATAAGTGATAGTTAAAAATTTCTATATATGGCCTATGCTGGAATCAGCACAGTAGGATGCCATTTTTCTTTTATCTAAGTGACATTGGTAATAATAGATGAAATTATTACTAAATCGCAGCTGCAGAGATGATATCATGATTTTTTTGTGTAATCTTTGATGAAAAATTAATTTTTGAGAGGGATAATTTAAAATGATTTAAATAGTATTATACTGAAGTCCTTACTGGTAATTAACACCAATCTTGTCAGAAGTGAATCCACTTTTGCAGCTGTTTCTAAAGATACCTACAGTATTTGTAACTTTTCTGGGAGTGAAATTATAGTGTTTGGACTTTATTTTTACTGCATAAGGACCATTAAGAGAAAGGGATGTTAATAGAGAAGGTTTTGTTCCACAGCAGGGCCAAAGTCTATTTCGCATTTTCAGTGTTTCTCTATGTGTGTATTTAATTAGCCATGCTCAGCATGTAAGCAGAGTTCAGTGTATGCAAAGTAGACTGTACATGGTATTTATATGTATGTATTCGCATGCCAGTGTACACACAGATATGTATATCTTTATGGGTTAGCTATATAAGTATACACAACTTTATTTGCGAGGGTTTTAATTGGTTGAACAGATGGCTGATCAGAAATGCTTCTTCATCTTCATCAGTGACTCGTCTTTCTTTCTTTGCATCGACTTTCATCACAGTGGCAAAAAAGTGCTCTAACGAGAAACAGCTGAAAATAGATTTTTCTTTGGTACTTTCATCATGCTTTAAATGACAGAAGTGGATTTTTTTTGTCCTATATATAAAGACCTGCAGGAGAAGGTTAAAAAAGGAAATATAGTGAAATCTAAATAGAAAAATTTGAATGAGAATATGGGAGAGCCTCAGATTATTCCTCTTATCTTCATATTTTACTTTCTTCTTTTTTAAAGTACATGCTGATTTTTGACAAGATATATAGTCGTGGTTATTCACGCCAGCTATAGTACCTGCCAATCAGTTTTTCTTTTCCTCGAGTTTGGTGCAGAAAGGGGGAGGGAGGGACAGGAGTTGAAAGATGACACAATGGCTTAGAGGACTGTTACTTTAGGTATTCATTAAAAAAGGAGTTACATGGCCAGCTTCTGCTGTTTCTGCAATTTTATTATATTCAAATCAAAGTCTGACTTCTGTAGGCTTTATAAAGGAAACAATGTGCCTTATAAACAGAGTGCAGGGTTCATGTAGGAGTGGTTCACTTACAAGCAGATTCATGGCTTGAGTTTATGTATAGATACATGAATAATCTATCCCATTTTTAATTTGAAAGAATAAAGTATCTGCTTTTTTTTTTTGCCCGTGTTGAAGTCTTTTGCAAACAGCTGCTTTTATTCTCTGAATTCCTGTGGATATATCGCTGTTGTATCCATTTTGCAAATTGGTAAACTGAGGAATGCCTTGACTGAGGAAACTGAGAAAATCATACAGCTAGCTGAGAGTCAAAAGCAGAAGTAGAACTCAGGGATTCTGCTCTCCTCTTCTTATTCTCCTGAAGCAGACCAAAACCCCTGGAAATGGCTTTCAAAGGAAAAATTACTCTTTGCATATTTAGCTCTGTTTGAACTGAATGTGAAAGAAATACTCCCTGGTTTCAATGTAATTACCTGACATTTTTTCATAGTAGAGCCTAGTTTTCATAGGCTTTTTCCTCATAAATGGAGTCAGCAATCTGCCCTTGTGCCCAGTGCAGCTGTAGAAGGACCATAGTCCTTGCCAAGTGTATGGGGGGGCCCAAAGGAACAAAGAAGTGATGAAGCCTGATGCTGCACACAGAGGTTTTTCATCAGAGGGAGTAGCAATAGAGGAAGACTAACATTCTTCAGTACTGCTAGCATGGGTCAATCCAATTCAGATGCTTTAGAAATGAAAGAACATGTAAACAAGAGATTTCTGGAAGTTAAAGATGTATGGGTGTGGTAAGTACCTCACAAGCACGAGATATGGCAATTCTGAATTCTATTATTAAAGGACTTTCTGAGAGGGAGATTGAAACTAGAGTTCAAGGGTAAGTATGCATGAGCACCATCTGGCTCTTTAGTTTCTGTTCTTTAGACTGGGACAGTCTGGAGGTAGAGAAGACATTATTGGATTATCTCCTCACAGTTTTGATGCAGCTGCTTATGTGATTAAAACAGCAGTCAAAAGTTCCAGGAAAACTGGAATTTTCTTTTTCACCCAGAACAATTACTGCAAGATAAGGATGATGTTTGTGCGCTGGAAGGAGAATGAAAAGATGCTGGGAATAAGAACAGCAGCTTCAGATTTTTTGAGCCCTTCTTTTCAGATTGTGACCCCTTGTTTGCAGGCTTTGAAACCCTGATAGAGAGGGTGTGGGTTTGGGAGGAGGTAATCTTGGCTCAGGAGGTCCGGCAGATGGTGTTGGCAAATGGCACTGCAGGCTCCTGCAGAGTGGTGCAACACTCTGGAAGTGGGTAGGGGAGCAATGGGGTTGTGGGAAGCAGCTGGTGGCAAATACACTCAAGATGGCTCCAGTGTGCAACCCCAAACAGACTGGTAAGGTGGAGAAGGAGCAGAGTAAAGCTCAGAGCAAATGAACCAGCTCTGTGGTTGTGTCCCTCTTCAGGAGGATGCGTGCAAGGTGAAGGTCAGTAGCTGACAGAAATGTGGGCAATGCAGTGCTGTCCTCCTCACCCTTACTCTTTGTGGGGTAAACCTTTCTTTACAGAAGCTGAAGGTATTAGAACCCAGAAAGGCTTCCATTAAAAATATCTATCTACATGACTAGAAGACGTTAGTTCCCTTCTATAGTGGTGTAAAATCCCTAGGCTTTCCACTGGAGACTGTGACACATCCTTACAAAATAGGGTACTTGGGAGGTGGTCAGATGACTGAGCTGCCTTTCTTCTCTCCTTCTCTTCTTATTTCCCTTTTTTTTAATATTAAAGATGATGAAAATAATCCAAGAAATTAATATCAACCTCTTCTGTCTCCAAAGAGATTAGTAGCATGGATGGAGGAGGCAGTTCTTTCTAATCTTTTGATGCTGGCAGTTGTCATCTAGAGTTTTTACATGGTACATGGGGATAAATCAATAGCATAAAACTAAAATAGTCAAGAAACTTATGCTTGCATTCTGATATGTTCAAAGCACTAAGGGAGGTAAGCAGAAGGGGTCTGCAGCATTTACACATCAGGTAGCACCAGCTCGGAGCTCGACTGTTATGGGTGTGAGTTTATGCAAAACAACTTAACACAGCTTTGCCCATGCATCTTCATCCAGAGCTGTAGCATTTTTCAGAGCTGTGGACCTTTATCTGCAAAGTCTTAAAGACATTATTAACTTAGTTTCATATATATTGCAAAAAGATTTTCTAAAACAATTAAACAAGCATAGGAATGACACTAGTCTCCTAGTGCATTTCTGTAAGGCTCATGACATCTCTGGTTAGTATTTACCTTGCCTTCCTATCTCATCATTATCGTCTTTTAGTCCATAAGTGAATCATCTTAAGAAGTAGCTACAAATCAAGTGGCTTCTAGATATTCAGGCCAGACATGGGGAGAGTACACAAAAAGCCACTCTTGGTTGGCTGCACAGGACATCCTCGTTGCCGTCCTTGAACCGGAGTCCATGCCAAACATTCTATGCTGTTGCTTCCAAGATGGACAGATGGGGGCTTTATAAAATAAGACAAGATTCTCCCTCCTTGCCAGTGTCTAAGCATGCTGCCTCCATACCTGTCCCAGGTGTTGATGTAAAGGAGCAAGGTGACTCTCTTGCACATCACACATAACATGCTCAGTTAAACAATTGAATATGAATTGTCACATCTTTTGCTGTTGCAAATCAATGCAATGATTATTCAGTCCATTTATAATTAGAAAGACGGGCTATTGGTTAAAAAGTTCCTTAAAACTGAACTTCTTGAGATCATATCTCCAAGTATTAGGAGGGTTTGGGGGGCAGGGGCATTTAAAGAGTAATATAAACATAGACAAAGAAAAAGTGAATGCAAGTATAGATAATGTTTTTGATACTTTATGAAATGTAAGAAGGCTTGACACTTGTGGGTTGGGGTTTTTCCCCCCCTTTTCATTCCTTCTCTTTCCTGTTATATATCTAACTCCATTTACTATGATCTATGCCTGAATTGCTGGTGAAATTATGATATCATAACAGTCAAGAAGATAAAGGGAGGAATGAATCAAGGAAAGTAAAAGAGTTTTAGTGGTAATTCATGGTACAATTTGTATTTTTCTTTTGTTAGCACTACTGAGCAATACTGCAGCATACTAGTATAACCTTCTTGAGAAGATAAATTTAAAACATTTTTTCTTTTCCCATCCTCTTCAACCATGCTCTATATTTTTATATCACTAATCAGTTCAGTGATTAAAATACAGGAAAACCAAACTGAAATTTAAAAATATCACAAAAAAAAATTCCCCTAAACCTTACTCAAGTAACAAGAATAAAATAAACATTTTGGCATTCTTCCTTCATTCATCATGAAATATATGCTCTGTAAAACTAACTCCTGGTATTATTTGTAGGTCACTTTTAAAAAGCTCTTGAGATAGTAATTCATCCCCTGAAATGAAGAGACACATAGATTTTTCTATTCTTTATATAAGACATGCTTACACTTTAAAAATATTTTTGTTATGGGTTTAAAGAATGATGAAGATGTTTAGGTATGTTTGGAGCTTCAGCACTTTCCAGTGATCTGAGCTGCAGATGCAGAAAAGTGCAAAAACAACTTTGAAAATGCTTTGGCAGTCTTTGCATGTTAATCACTGCAGAATGGCTTCAAAATTAATGAAAAGAGTGCAATTTTTTTCTGTATAAGTGCCTCACTCTGGGCTGTAAGTGAAACAGAAATTTACTGTAGTAGTTTTCAAGACAATGATTAATATTTACATTTATCAGCTGAAAATCCC